TGGAGGTCTAGGATGGAGTAAGCCCAACATTGTGCTGCTCTGATTAAAATAAATCCTAGTTTCTGTGTGGCGATTTGGGTATACAGCTGGTTTAGGAATAACCTCTGATTAACTAAAAGATAAACCAACATTAAATATTAATAACCCACAACACTTATCTTATTTGTTCTCCCCTTGCTGTCATCATATTTTTTCTTGTCTTTAATTTTCCGTGCATGTGGTGTACATGCATGTTTCTATATATGCATGGGTGCACTCTACATGATGTTGAAATTGGGAATCATACTTGATCACTCTTGCACCATATTCACTCAATCAGAATCAGCAATAAAATTCTCTCAATCAGACTCAGTGATAAAATATACAGCTAGCGTCACTAAGCAGCTTACACTCAGCGCACTCCACCACTGTCTTCCAAGGCTGGAATTACAGGTACACCCACCAACATTTACATGCATTTTTTGGGATCCAAACTCTGGTTCCCAACACGCCTGTTTTAATTTGTACACTTTCTCAATGGTGGTTCATTTGAACTGCCCTACACACACATTTAAAAATCATTAAAGAAATACTTAATCAACAGAGCAAACAGCTTAGGAATGGCAGAAAAAAATCTTCACTGCACTTCAGACAGAATTTAAAAACTGCAGAAGTCAAATACCAAAGAAATAAAACTGACAATCAACAAATGGGCAGATAAACTGAATAGACACTAAAACAAAACAAAACACCAAACATAAATGGTCAATAACTATTTTTTAAAGTGTTAATATCCCTAGCCATAGGGGAAATGAAAATTTGAACTACTTTGAGATACAACCTCACTCCATTGAGAATGGCTATCATCAATAAATCTGACAAATGTTGGGAGAGGAAGTGGTGAGAAAGTGTTATTCACTGCTGAGAGAGATGCAAATTAGTATAGCCATTGTGGAAATCAGCTTGGAAATTTCTCAAATAATGAAAAATAGAACTATTACATGATCCTGTTATTTCACTCCTGGGCACAACATATCCAGAACTCCATACTCAATCATAGAGATATTTACAACTGCCATTGCTGCTTTATTCACTAGAGCAAGGAATTCAAATCAGTCTAGTTATCTGTCAACAGATGACTAGTTAATAAAAATTTGATACGTAAGATGAAAAACTATTCAGTTCTAAAGAAAAATGTAATAAAAAATTGCAGGAAAATTAATGGGACTCTAATCGTGTAATATTAAACAAGGTCACACAACCTCAGAAAAAAGCATTATAATCTCCTATGTAGAATCTAGGCAGTATGTGCAAATAAATGTACATGTGGGTACAGTGTAACAGGTAGAAAAGAAAGGGTATCAGGGGATAAGGAAGGACTGAATGTAAGTAATAGGTACAAATTATAAAAAAAAACACACAAAGCTAATTGCTTTTGTAGTTCTAACTCTGATATGGACTTTTTGTTTTTTGTTTTTGGTAGTGTATACTGCATAAAAATATAAAATCCAATGCGAAGGAAGCTTTACAGCTTCTGTCCTGAATGGATAATCTTTTGAGTCTAGTTTATTTTGGTGCATGGTGTTTATTTCTTTGTAACTTCATTCCAGGTGCTGAGACTAAAGGCATTCAAAACTACACCCTGCTTCAAAAATAATTAAAAAGGAACGAAGGAAGGAAGGAGGGAGGGAGGGAGGGAGGGAGGGAGGGAGGGAGGGAGGGAGGGA